TTGCAAATGTAGCTAATGTTGCTAATGTGGCTAATGTAGCTAATGTAGCTAATGTGGCTACTGTAGGTAATGTTGCTAATGTAGCTAATGTAGCTAATGTAGCTCCATAACTGGTGAACGTGTAATTAAACAACTGTTTGCAAAATAAAGTAGTAAGTTGTGTTTGCAGTTAGTTTTTTCAGCCTGCAGGGTGTCAAGAAAAATAATTATTTTTCCACTTAGACGCAAACAATCTTTGACAATTCATTCCATCTTTTAAATTAAATCCTGCTCCTTTAAAACAGTGTTATTCTTGCAAAGCTGAATAATTATGCTGTATAATTTAATCAGCAACAGAACTGTTAATTTATTTAATTTTACAAGAAATATTAAAGCAAAATGTCGTGTAATGCATTGGTTTATAAATTGATCAAATAGTTTGATCTGTAGATTAGAGATTAATGTGTCAAGCAAAATAACTTTTATTTTTTTTTATTTTTTCAGCAGGTTGGAGGAGGGTCACTCAACTGTTTGGAGTTTGGGGACAATAAGCTCTCGTCCGTGGAGAGCTGCAGTGAAAATAAATGCCCCTGCCAGCATGGAAGGGAGACCCCAGACACTCCAGACTCTGGACAGATTAGGCGTCAGCTGAGCCCTCAGAACATCAACACCGTCATGGCCTTCTCTGTGTTGTCACCAGAGATCAAACAGGCCATCGAGAGCGTCAAGTACATCGCCGAGAACATGAGGAGTCGGAACAAGGCCAAAGAGGTGAGCCCTCACTTTATTGTTGCTCGGCACATCTGGTGAACTGCTGGAGTCTGTTCTTGGTGCACCCTGTTGGTTTTCAGACAGGAGGAGGAACCAACAACTGTCCAACCAACTGTCATGTCCAAGTTCTGACTGGAGACAATGCATTAGAGTTCAGTTCGATTTCCAAGAGCACAAATCTTTAGATTGTTTTCTACACTTCTTTAAACCCCAGTGTAATTATTTAAGGTCATGTTAGTTTCTATTTATTGTCTGACTGTTTATGAAGTGATCAGTTTTCCTTCCGTACATTTCTCAGCATCTTTCTCATTCCATAATTTTTGTGCTCTTTCAACAAATCATAAATCAACACATTCAGCTCTTTCAGGACCATCCTGCTGTGACTTTTGGAATTGGTGCAGCTTTAGATTTTTTTTTTAATATTTAGCCTTTTCTGCCTTTTTAGCCTCATAGAAAATGAATTGAGCTCATTTTACATCCTTCATATCTTTTGAGCTGTTTACAACCTTTTACTGCTCCTTTCACATTTTTTTCTGCTTCAGCTTCCAAACTTATTGTAAGCTACTTTCAGCAGTTTTTTCCAGCTGTTTTGTGCTCCTTTCAGATTATTTCTGCTAACTACACCATTGTGTGCTTCTTCTAATCTAACATCGTCCTGCTAATGTCAGGTTGTTATGCTCCTTTCAGCTGATTTCTGCTAGTTTCTGTTATTTCAGCTACTATTTACTGCTTTTCTTATGCTATTTTAGCTTTTCAGCTAAGTCCACATTTTTTTTAAACTAATTTCAGCTCTTTCCAATTCCTTCTGGTAATTTAAGCTTTGTGTGTCTTTTCAGCTACTTTTCAAGTATTTTTTCTAATTTTAGCTTTTGTTTTTAGCTAATTTAGTAATTGTTGTGCTCAGTTTTGCTTATTTAAACCTAATTTAGCAAATGTGTTCTTTCTGCTTTCTTCTGCAAATTTAGGCTTGTTCTTCCATTTCAGCTAAAATTCAGCTTGTTTCTTAGCTGATTTCAGCTGTTTTTTTTTTTAGCAAGTTCATCAGCAGTAAGCATTCACACTATATTTTTACATGTAACTTCTCTAGTTGAGGTTTTGAAAGCCCAGTATAAAACATAAAGACGACTTCTTACTGAAATATGAGTGTCGTCTTTTGTGATTATCTGTAATCTTCTGTAATTATCACAGTAATTCCTTTTTGTAAATTATTTATCAACTGTTGATTAATAGGACTTGTAGTATTGTCCTTCCTCCCTTCATGTCTTTTCTTCATCCTTCTTTATTCACCCAATGGCTCTGATCCTGAACCATTTGATCACTGAATCACCTTTGTTTCCTCCACCACACCTCTTTCTCCTGCCAGGAAAAACAAAAGTCATAAATATGTAACACTTTCCTCTGTTCTTTTTGTTGTTTCGTCTTTTTTTTTTTTTTTTGTACTCGCTCACAGGTTGAAGACGACTGGAAATACGTCGCCATGGTGATTGACAGGATCTTCCTTTGGGTTTTTGTGACCGTGTGCATCCTGGGAACCATGGGCCTTTTCTTCCAGCCTCTCTTTAGTTTCCTCTCATGAGCGCCGCAACGTTCAGGGTTCTCTGTTTGGAATGGATGAACTCTCAGTTCTCAGCCAGTCAGGTGCAACAGTTTTGGGTCCTGCGGCACCATCAGGTGATCCGGTTCTGTCTCCTGCCTGCAGCACAGATCATTGAACATCTTTTTTTATTTTGAAATCACAGATACAAAAGGTTTTAATGTCTTATTTTTATATTTTTAAATACAACTCGTTTTAACAAAAAAAACACACAAGCACCTTTAACAGAAGAACGATGTCATTAGTGCACTTTAGTTTTAACTAACTTGATTATGTTTTATTGAACATATTTAACACTAAATGTCCTTATTTTAAAATCTACCCACTATCAGTTGCTCATTCCACACATTAAGAGGTGTGATTCCAGATTAATACTTTTATTCTGGGTGATTATTAAAAAAACTGCACCTGAACTAATGATGGTGTCCATAAAGCAAAATTATTATTTTTTTCTCTAACCGTTAATTTTTTCTACTTAAAAAAGTGTTTTAACTTCTTGTCTTAGAAGAATAATCCAAACCTGAACAGAAAATAAGAACAATTGTTACAGTCTGGTCTCATTTTAAACTGAAAACATGATACAAACATGAAAAATAATGGATCATAGTGTAAAATGATGCCATCATGCACTCTTTTACCTTTTTTGAGGATTTTATAACTTGTCAAAGGAAGGTTTGGAAATAATTTAGCTGCAATTTGTAGAGATGCCAGTTCAGGACATGCCCTAAAAGTCAGGCAAGGATCAGAATTCAGACACATTCAGTGGTTCATCAGAACTTGAACTTATATGCCCAGAATTTATTAAAGAAATGAGAAGTTTCAAAGACAGAAGATGAGACAGAAACCGTCCTCTTCATCAAACTCATCTCAGACGTCTGAGGAGTGCAGGATGAGAGTCCTGGTATGATTCATCGACAATCTGACAGTCAACAACCACTGCTGCTTCCATGAGCAGTTTCCTTTTATTTCTATGTTTGTTTATTCCGATTCAAATGTCTGGGATCTTTGGGAGTGCTTCATGAATAACAGCAGGATGTTCTTTTTATAATTAGAAAATATTTGTGTACAAATGGCTAATGTTCCACAAGGCAATGGATTAGCTGGTGTGTCAACCTTCAGTCAGTCTGGATTGGTTCTTCTAAAGATAGCGTTGCAGTTATTAATTTATAAAAATAAATTTAAAAAAAAAAAAAGCCACGCTAATTTCCAATTCCATGCTTATATAAGTCTTTTTTGGGTAACACCCATGATTAGTTTTTTTTTTAAGAACATGTCATGTCATGTATATAT